GTGTATTGTTAGATATCATTTATACATATACTATCATTGATTTCAGGTTTTCTTGTAACTGTTAGTTCTCCTTTGTGAAAAGATCATCAGTGATTACGCTTCTTCCTTTGTGTTTTCTTATAAAGCAATGAATGTAATGGATTTTACACTAAATGTTACATTTTAAAAATGTGCTCGCATGGTTTTACACTACAATCCCTGTAGGAGGGCTGTGGTAGTGGCTTTCATTGGAAAACACTATCCAAATTTTACATATGCCCATCTCAGCACAGTCTGCGGACCAGCTTATAACTGTACATTATAAGTCTTTTCAAATCATATTCTATTACAGATTACAGGGTTATCAATTCAGAGCATCATTTTATTCGTCAGACTTCAAATCCAATTTCAGTAAGTAGGTGTCTGGAATGTAGGGGTATTATGTTTGGGAGTTCCTTAGCTTAACATGCATAATAATATGTATACACGCTTTGTCATTATTAGATATAGGCCATTTCCTTTCCCTTTCAGCTTCCTTTAGTGGGAATCAAAAATTTCTGTTTCAGTAAGTATATAATTTAAAAAAATTAAAAATAAAAACACTGTTTTTCGTATTCTCCCTACAACTTGTCTCATTCATTCTACTAGGTTACAACCATACTATACATAACTTACACAAGTACGATATTCGACTCCAGGTACGTTATTAGCCACGTTAGCTCCCCAGCAATACATACCATTAATTACTGGTATTAGTTTTACTAGCTTATAGGGATCTAGGTGGCCAATAGTAATTGTATTCCTGGCATTTCTGCCTTAGAGTTAGTGGTCCCGCAAGGCTAACAACTATCTTCCACGCATGACGTAACACGCCCCTCGGGCCAATACATAGTTAGCTGCCTCACACAGTTTCATAGAGAGGGCCTCACTTGACACACCCAATCTATCTTGTGCTTTAAAAGTCCCCGAGAGGCCAACACTCCACCACAATGTTAGGTGGCCATGAATCCCCTCATGCCAATGCATAGATAGAGCCACTTTGCAACTAGCAGGGCCTGTCACCAACTGACACAGTTAATGCCTTCAAATTACTACCCATTCACCCATCTTTATTGAATCTGCACAGTATTAAATGGAAAGGCCTGTACTATTTTTCACAAGACTTACTTTTGGTTCAAAAAGTAGCCCAAAAATATTTGACACATTTGCAGAGACAGTGTGCTGGCTTCTACTGAATATATGCCGCTGCCACACAGTAATCCAATATCTGAATGATTTCCTGTTTATTGAGAACAATACTCCCCATATAATTTAAATTAAACAATACAATTATTCCTCTTATTAGGGGTACCAGTCTCTCCCAAAAAAACAGAAGGTCCTGACACTATTATTAATTTCCTGGGCATTCATCTTGACTATGTGGCTACGGAAGCCAGCCTCCGCCAAGATAAAGTTAGTAACTCTGTAAGGAGTTACAATCTCTGCTAGGCTCCCTTAATTTTGCTATGAGAATCATCCCGCAAGGTAGAGCCTTCATCTCTAGACTCCTTAGCTTACTCCCTGAATTTTCCAATGACATCAGTCCTATCTCACTAAACACACATGCTTGCGCTGACCTTCTCATGTGGAGCAAATTTCTTTTAAATTGGAATGGGAAGAGTATGTTTCTCCCACAATTATCTGTACATTCCCTTGTCATCTGGACAGATGCAGCAGCTACCACGGGTTTTGCAGCCATATTCGGTGATAATTGGCTCTAGGGTAGTTGGCCAGAGGAGGTTCAAAGCATAGAAGGGTTCTCTCGCAACTCAGCCTTATTTGAAGTGTACCCAGTAGTAGCTGCAGCAGTAACTTGGGGCCATTTATGGGCCGGCTGTTCGGTACAATATTTTTCTGATAATCAAGCAATTTGTTCATCTTCTTAAACTATTATGAGATTTCTCAGAAGCATGACCTGGTTAGCAGCCTGTAATCAATTTTACTTAGTTTGTTGTCATGTGCCAGGAGTTTTCAATACAGCAGCTGACCAGTTATCTCGTTGTCAATTCCAGGCATTCCAGGAAACCCTTCCTACTGATTTACATCTAGCCACAGCCAGCCCATCATTCCAAGATCTAATAATGGATTAACTGAGTTACTGAACCATAGCCAACTGTTGACTAAAATGGGGCTATCAATTAATACTCGTCGATCCTATGATAGGGCCTTCTCATTATACAAGAGATTCATAGCGGAACATAACATAGATAACATGGTTGATATAACATCTCTGGCAGCATTCGCTACTTTTTGCCACCTTAAAATAAGTCTGTCTCATGATACCATCAAGTTATACCTGACTGGCATTCAACATCACACGTTCTCTACTTTTCCAAACAATAACAGTTTCCTTTCATACTATCCAATCAAGACTATACTTAAAGGTATAATAAAAGTCAGTAGGGGGATGGGGCCAAGAGCAGGAGCCAACATACAGTACTCAGTGGAGTCATCAGATGATATCAGGAAATTGGCAAAGCCTTTCCTCTGCTCTTCCCACAGACTCCCCAGCGGTCCTGGGAGAAAAGCAGTGAAAGTCATGCCCCCTCCTCCTGACATCATCAGTAGAGGCCGGCCGACTCCACTGGCTGCAGGCTGCAGGAAGAGAAGTATGTTGCAAAATCTGAGTCCCCAGCCAGAGGCAGGGGATTTGGATTTTTGCATCCCCCTCCTCTGGCGCCCTAAGGTGGCTGCCTGAGCCGCCTTATGTATGCGCTGGCCCTGTCCTTATTATGTAGGCACATTATCTCCAAATGCATTGATTGCTTGGTGGGTGTTTACTCGACCAGTTTGTTGATACATTGTCTCAATGTTCATCTTAGCTGTTCTGAAGCTTCCGGTCCCAACTCTCTTATCCATAACGTTTGTCATGTTTGCATATGTGAGTCCGAGATAAAAAGTGGAACGCATGTAGTACTCTGAGTGGAACACAGATGTACTTCAGGTTCCTGGAACACACTGACATGCGCACTGGAACACCTTTGTCATAGATACGGCATAAGGAAATTACAGCCTAAGAGAGACAGCTGGAACCTAAAGATTCAGAACAGCTGAGCGGAACATCAAGACAACATCAGGACAATGAATCAACAAACTATTAGAATAAACACCCACCAATAAATTTGGAGATAGTGTGTCTATATAATAAGGACTAAGTGGGGAGGGAAGTCAGGTGGTTTATTTTTGTTGTACTATATTCTTGATTGTATCTTTTATTGCATAACGACCCCGATGAAGGTCTATATATAAAACGAAAGGCGTAGGACTTAGCTTATTATTTTAACCATTTTATATATTTTGAAAATATATTTATTTTTTTATACTTTACCTGATTCCCGCTTCCATCACCAGAGGGAAAATAAGATCTTGTTCAGCCCCACCCAACTACATCAAGGGAGGGACCCTACAGGCAATTGTATACTCTACATCTTGTGAGTGTGAAATATTAGCATATCACATCTTATATAACAAATCAATACTACACTATTTTGTTTTATATTTTTAGTTTAGGTTATACAGCTGTATCCCATATTCTCCCATACATTTATATACTAATAGTAACGGTATCACTGTATTGTATTTTTTTTGTCACTCTGTTTTTTGCATATGGAACAGTTTTCTGTGTTTGTTATATTATTGTTTTTTGTCTGGTATTAGGTTTGTAATTGCCTTCAACAAATTTTAACAGAATGTATACATCATCTCAGATTAATATTACTATTTTCATTACTGAATTTATAATGCTGTATTTTTCTGTATCTTGTGATATACATTTCTAACTAAAGTTTTTGTTCTTTAACTCATTTTGATTGATTATCCTAAAACCTTTAAATATAGAGGCTTTTAAAAAAAAAAAAGGAATTTGTCAGGGACAGTGATGATTATGCTAATAATCAAGTTAGTTAATTTTCCTATTTCTGGAAAACATCTCATTTAAGAAAATACAATTGACCTTGAGATCATTTTAATAATAATAAAAGATCACAGAATTTGAAATTTTAGGAAAATAAAGCTTTAAATTGCTCCCAGGTAGTTAAGGGAAACAACAAGAACATGTTTAATAGCACGAATATGCCTAGGGATAAAACACAAGCAGAAATGTAACCTGAAATAATAAAACACCTAATTTTTAAGAGCTTTTTAGGTCAAATAGAATTCAAATTCTTAATCTGAATTCTCCAGGTGAAAGGAATTATTTTTTTAGAGAAACCTTTAGAAAAAGAGAGTGATAATGACCACTCATTCCCCCCACAAGAGATCCAAAGAACCAGAAGTGGAAATAGAGCAATGAGAAATAAACCAGTTGGTATTTTTAATCTTATTAATAAAATACAACCTAAATATCAAATAGAAGTTTTAAACAAAGGTTTAAAATATGATCCAGCCAAAATAGTGATCTTTTAAAAATATTTTTACATACACACATTTGTATATATATATATATATATATATATATATATATATATATATATATATATATATAATATATTATTTTTTAATACTACTATTATGGAAAATCAGATTTTTTTCCTAAACATTTAATAGACAGTTCAATGAAGGTTTTTGAGTCCTTAGTTATGAGGGATATAAAGCAAAATAAAAATTACTCTGCTGGGGGGCGGAGCCAAGCAACCAAGCAGCCCAGACGTGTTAGGAGAGAGCTCCCGCGTCTGGGGACAAAATACAGGGAATTACACCCAGCTTCCACTAACCACAAGCCACAGACCAAGAGCTTCACAACCGGGAGGGGCTGCTGCACAGAACGGTACCTCTCCTGAATACCGGGGCATCCGACTGAATATATCAAGGTCTGCGGCCTACTCACGACTGAGCCACGAGGAGACGGCCGCTCCACGGGGACAAGAGCGGGCAATGGAACCCCCGGGAAAAGTCCCAGTCCACACATCAGAGCAGAGAACACCCAACAGAGCGCTGCATTAGGGCGTGCGGCAGACAAGCAAGAGCCACGAGGCCCAATTAAAATGGCCGACAGCTTCATTGCCCAAGCACAGCAACAGACTCCTAGTGACTGGGAGGCGGCCTCCAACGCAAGGTTTAAAGCCATGTGGGAGCAGTTCTGGGCCAAACTAGCACACAAGAACTGGCTACCTCAGCCACCAAACATTGGGAAGAAGTCCAGCAGGCCTGACACATTGGTACCCGAAGCAGCCCGCAATACCGAGCCCATCCACGAGACTGCATACCGCACACCACGGATGTGAACCCACCCCAGCGGACTGCACCGCAGACACCCACGGCAAAACCATCTCAACAGAGCTCCAACAGATACTCCAAGCGGCGCCCTCCACTTCAAAAGTACTGGTCACACAATGCAAGCGTTGACAAAAAGGGATGCCGGCTTGCACAACCACCCATGCTGGAGACATCACACAACCTGACAGCAACCCCAGCAACGATGCAGGTACACACCAAAATCCACAGAGACAGCACCACCTGGAATACACACCTGCCAGCCCTAAGCTTCCCGAACCACAGCATAGGCTGACTGTTCACTTGCATAGAAGGGCAGTTTCACCATGCGCACCATGGACTTACCGATCCGCGGCTGTGGACACCCGGTCCCATATGGACTATGAAACTAACGAGCATTCTGACCTGCCACGTATGTTTATGATTTTTGTGCTTTTATTTCTTAAAGACCCAGTGATTCTCGCTCTTATAGTCCAGCATCGATATGCCTACTTGACAGATTCTTAAAGCCCCACGACATCCTGAACTGTGTAATAATATTATCCCACATTGGAAACAAGATATAGCGTTGTTTACTGTTCTCTGCTACATCATAGCCTATACCAGAATGGCGCAATCTGTCTACACACTACACATGAACCATCTATTATTATAATGTAATTCACTCAACCACACTACGAACACACTAGCAAAGCTAGTGTAGTGCTGTTAAGCGTTGAACACCCTATTTTGTCCCTGGTTATCCCACACGCTGTCTACATATATGTCATACCTTCTACCCTATTAAGCCTGTGTAGTTACTCATGTCTTACTCACAAACGCAATGGTTTAGCATGTGTATAATGCACTGATATCTAGGAAATCATATCCGCTGACATTATATTCTAAACGACAGTTACTGTTTAACCTTTACTTAACCAATTGTGAGGCCTAATACTGTTACTGTTCAATCTTTACTTAAAGGACCACTCTAGGCACCCAGACCACTTCAGCTTAATGAAGTGGTCTGGGTGCCAGGTCCAGCTAGGGTTAACCCATTTTTTCATAAATACATAGTTTCAGAGAAACTGCTATGTTTATGAATGGGTTAAGCCTTCCCCTATTTCCTCTAGCGGCTGTCTCATTGACAGCCACTAGAGGCGCTTGCGTGCATCCCACTGTGATTTTCACAGTGAGAGCACGCCAGCGTCCATAGGAAAGCATTATGAATGCTCTCCTATGTGACCGGCTGAATGCGCGCGCAGCTCTTGCCGCGCGTGCGCATTCAGCCACATGGGAGGAGAAGAGGAGGATCGGAGGAGGAAGGTCCCCGCCCAGCGCTGGAAAAAGGTAAGTTTTAACCCCTTTCCCCTTTCCAGAGCCGGGCGGGAGGGGGACCCTGAGTGTGGGGGCACCCTCAGGGCACTATAGTGCCAGGAAAACGAGTATGTTTTCCTGGCACTATAGTGGTCCTTTAACCAAAAAATGTGCAAATTCCACCATGTACCTCTATGTTACAAATTAATATAACACGTGAGAGGATTGCCGTTGGGGTACCTCATAAACTAATGTAATCTGCAATTGCACAGCAAAAATAAAAAATTTTAAAAAAAATAATTACTCTGCTAAGACGAACTTAAATCCTCAACAGTTAAAAGCTATGAAAGAACTTAAAGCAGCTGACAAAATAATTTTAAAAATGGTGGATAAGGGAGTAGGTATTGTCCTCCTTCCTAAGGATACATATGGTAATGAGGTGTATAGACTCCATGGGGATGACTACAAGAAAAAAAACTACAAGAATATTATCTCAGATCTATTAAAAGAAATTAAATCTAAATATTTGTAATATATTAATTAAGTTAAGGAGATAGGTCTTCTTAAAAGAGTACTACAGACACCCAGATACTTCATCTCGTTAAAGTGGTCTGGATGCAGTGATCCTTAGCCTTTTAGAAAAGCTGCAATGTTTATTTTGCAGGTTTAAGACTGTCTCTATTTGCTGTCTCTCAGACAGCCACTAGAGGCATTTCATGTATTTTCACAGAGTTAAGCTCCGTAAAACTATGTTGGATGTCCTCACATGTCCGGTATCATCTATATGCCCACGGGAAAGCATTGAGTCAAGTAAGGGGAAGGCCTAATGTGGGTGCCTTGCATGTGCATTAGGTTCCCACGATTGGCTAACGCCATAAGGAGGAGGAAATTCTGCAGTGGAATCAGGTAAGTGTTTTATAGGGTTATTTAACTGTTTTAAGGACGCGAGGAGGGTAAGGAGATGGGGCACGGAGGCTGAGGGACACTTTAGTATTTCAGAATACAAAATTGTATTCCTAATACTGTAATGTTCCTTTCATAAGCATTGACATTGTTTTATGAATGTCAGTCACTCAATAACACCAGTTCTATATTTTCTCCTTACACACTCACAAAAATCCACTTAATCCGCCAGGTCATCCAATAGTTTCAGAGGTGGGGTCTCTTCAAAGTAATTTATCTCAATGTATTGATAGAAAGTTATACACCTTTGTAATTAAGGCTACATCCTATCTTAAAAAACTCACCAAATTAATACAAGCTTTTAATAATACTTAGTGTAAAGATGGTCATTTGTTAATGACTATTGATTGCATTATTATCCCACATGATTTAGATTTAAAAGCTGTTGAGTACTTTATACTAGAATCTAATAAGGACCCTCTTGAAATTAATTTTATTTTGCAGAGTATTTCTTTTATATTTTATAATAATTATTTTTGTTTTAATCATTCATTTTTTTTCTCCAACTTTCCAGTATTGTGATGAGGATGAAGCTTGCGCCCAGTTACAACAACCTCTTTATGGCCCATTTGGAAGAGGAAATTATACATGGGGAGCATGGCTGGGAGGCAGGCTTAGTCCTCTACAGCAGATACATTGATGATTTTCTCTGTGTTTGGGCTGGTGGTGTGAACTCTAGGTATTTTTGGCACATCTAAATAAAAACAATTTGGGAATTAGTTTTAAAAGCTTTTATAATAATATTAAAGTGAAGTTCTTAGATTTGTAAATATATGTTGCAGAAGAGGAGATTCAAACTTTCTTCAAGACTATCAATGTAAACAGCTACATATATCTGAGTAGCTCTCATCACTCATTGGCTCAGAAATATTATATATAACCAATTTGTGAAGTTATATAAAAATTACACTGATAAAAATGCATTTAGAAAACAAGATTTATGTTTTCAAATATTGTAACGGCACCCCCAGGCATAAAAGGGTTAAAGCGCCGTTTAGAAGATCTTCCCCTTCCAGAGACACAGGCACAGCTACCACAGAACACCAAACTCCCGAACAGGATACAAAGTAGCACTCCAAACTCCCGAACCAGAACCTCACGAATAGCTGCTAGCAGCTGAACAGGAAAAGCACCCAAGCGGTTTACACTCCTGGCAATCAGTCTCTAACAGCATACAGTAAATCCCCCCAAGAACGGGACAAGCAGTGTTCAGACTGAGCTGTGTCTTTATTGGCCTTATATACACATTTTACAGACAAAGTCCCACCCACAGGGTTTTGTGGAACATCCAATCAAAACATACAACAGATAAACACTCCCGCAATGACATCACAATCCCTCCTCTCTATCCTGAAGATAATTGGGAAGTAATCCAATTATCTCCAAGGACAGAGGCTAAACTCCATTAAGCACATGGCAGTTCAATTGCCATGGAGCCAAAGTCTTTTATTAAAGTCTCCATGGCATAGCTATCTGGGTTAAATGAGTTCATTCCGTAAATCCGCGAATGAACCGGGCGCATGTGAACTGCAGACTGCTCCCATCCAGTGTTCAGTATGCGTAGCCGGCTTCTGGGCGGCCAATTAACGGCACCTGCCAGCTAACCGCAGCTCCTGGGAGGCCAATAGACGGCTGTTTGTTTGGTAGATAGAATCTACCGAACGCCCGGGCAGAAATACATGAATAGACCTTTCTGCATAGGAAAATAAAGTATTTAAATGCCAGTCCATAGTCAAAAGGCAGCAGGCAGGCAACCAGGCTCCTCCAATGCACAGTGGCGAGATTGGTCTCATCACAAGTATGATTTCAGGAAAAAAAAAACAATATGAGGTAGAACTTTTAGAGAAAGCATTAAGTGAAGTGGAAATTAAGGATAGGTCGGAATTGATAAATTACAGTTTAAGAGTGTGACGAGACCAATCTCGACACATTGCATTGGAGAAGCCGGGTTGCTCGCCTGTTGCCTTGGGATTATGGCCCCATGTTAAAAGGCTTGATTTTCCTCTGCAAAGACAAGAAAGCTGGGTCATTTGGTGCTTGCCATTTGAGCAGTGATACCCCAGTTAGCTATGCCATGGAGCCCATTCGTATAATGAAAGACTATGGGAAAGACTTTGGTTCCATGGCAATTGAACTGTATGTGTGTGCTCTGAGCGCCATTCAGTAATAATGTGCGCTTAGACCTAAGCTATCTGGGCATATGTTGCATGTCTGTATTTTATGTCATAAATGTAACCTTGTGTATTTCATTGTATTTCACTGTCTTTTTGCTGCCATGTGCTCAGTGGAGTTTTGCCTCTGTCTTTGGAGATAATTGGATTACTTCTAATTATCTCCAGGATAGAAGACTCTGTGGAACTGGTTTTGGGCAGAAAAGCCATGCTTCCTGTGGTCACAAAGGACTACGATCTATCTTTTGAACCACTGGACCAATTTGTATGATTTTGACGTATGTTTGTATTTGGAGTATGCTGATTCTGAAAATGTAAGTTTTATGTGATGCATACTTTTCAAGTTATGAATAATGTGGAAAAATTGTATTTCTCTGCTTGTGCTAAATTACATTACCCATTGTGTAAGGTAATTAAATCACATGCAGAGGGGAGGAATTTGTGTGGGAGTGTCTGAGTGTATTGTATGTGTTTATTGGTTGTGTTCCAAAACCCTGTGGGTGGTACTAATGTGTAAGAATGTGTACATAAGCACAATAAACCCACAGCTCTGTCTGTTCACTGCTTGACCCTCAACACGG